GGCGAATACGTCAAAAATGGCCGGACTACTTTTTGAACCAAACGTTAGGCGTGAGAAAAAGTAGTAGTGCCCGGCCCACTTAATGCCATGCAGGTGCCATAGTGTAGGGTGGATAGGCAATAATTTGAAGGCATTTGTAATGTCAGTCTTGCTGAGCCATGCTCCGACCCCTGCCTGCATGATAGCTGTAATGGCGTGATCTATGGTGGAGTATTGAAGTGAAAATTCCTCAGAGGGGATAAGGGAGTTCAGACTAGGTGAGGCAGAGGTGTGAGGTGCAGACAGATCGATGATAAGTCTTTGTTTGTGGGAAGATTTCCCTGTGACAATACCGATGGGGTTTGTCCGCCATGTGGAAAAAGGAGGGGACTGAAAGGGTCCCAATAGGAAGCCCTCTGCCACTTCTTTGGCTATGAGTGTGCTAACCGCTGTAGGGTTTTGTTGTGCAGATTGTAAATTAGGACATTCAAGGATTCCTGAAGGCATGTGTATGAGACCAGTATGGAATCCTTGTGATAGACCAGTGATGATGAAGTCTACCAAATGTCTAGATGGATGTCGTGACAGTAATGCCGTGAGTACAGAAATATTTATCTCGGTTAAGTATTGCTTAGGGTACATTTTATTTGGACACATGGTTTTCGCATGTGCCCTAAAACATTTTGAACATATATGCAATAACCGACAACCGCTGTAATTACATGCACCGACACTGAAATTATTACATATTTGGGACTTCCCCAAAAACTTGATAGGTCGACCCAGTTTGTCTTTGGGTGTTCTCTCTGCTGACACAGCGGAGCTAGTGCCCTGCGAGGTGGTAGGTTCGTTCGCAGTGGTCGGACAAAAATTGGCAGTATGAGCCATGGAGGAGCAGTGTGCACAGGCCGGTGCTCTTAGACCTGCAAAGTGCCTGCAAAAAATGATCGTATCAATCTTACTCCAGTTGGACCTTGTCCCGTACTGTGAGAAGGCGCCAGACACTTTGGCAGAAAAAGATCTATGGTAGTCATAGAAAGCTGACCCACCATATTTGTTGCCCAGATCAACCAGCCTGTGCATATATAAGTCAAACTCCTCACGTCTGTGGGGATATACCGTACAGACCACATCCCGATAAATGCCAAAAGCTAATACAAATTCTGGAATGGTTAGCTTCCTATTTAATCGTGCATCCCTGGATTTGACCACCACAGAAATATCGTCATAAGCGTAGGTCTTATGTTCCACTATATCCTGGGAGGCAATTAGTAGTGAGGCCAGATTGACATCTTTACCTTCCAGGATATCTCTCCTGAGGTGCTCAGGAATCATGTGGGCAGGGTAAACTTCTTGGTCATCCGAGGTGATAGCTGGAGAAACTGATTGCGACTCCACCACTGATGGGGGAATTGCCGTGGCCGGTCCAGCCATAGTGAGGGCTGTAGTGACCGATTCAAGTTTCTCCAGCCTAGAATTGACCTTGCTCATGGATGTCATGAGGGACGTGAGCATGTCATGTATGTTCCCTGGGTGGGACTGGCTCGACCCTTCCCCAGCGTCCATGTTATCGGTTGAGGTGTGTAATAATTTGTAAAGTTCCGCTTTCCTTGCTGTTGCTGGAAAAGGGATTTGTCGTCTCCTGAGTTCGCTAGTGATACGAGGGATAGTCCATGATCTGAAAGATGCTGGACTAGCCGTATCTTCCTCCTGTGATGGGGTGTTGGTTCTAGCCGGAGTCCTTGGGATGGAGAAATCCTCTACCCCTTCTTGAGACATACTAGATTACAAAAGTATATGGTTAGCATAAAACCCCCCGAGGGGATGTACTGGCAGGCTAATTATGCCGGATAGGCGAAAAATTAAAACTTGTTCTTTGGTGACAGGTGAGGCCCTGCTAGTTGCCAAGTGGCTATGAGAGGCTCTATCTATGCGTTGGCGCGAGGGGTTATTGAGGCCACCCGACGTAGTGGCAGGAATTCGTAGGCCTCTCGGTGACAATACAAGAAAACAGGGGAAGGGAGTGACAGGTGGCACCCTCTCTATAATGCGAGGCGGCTAACTCACGTGTGGCCCGGGGGGCATTACCTCCGAAACGTTGAGGCGGGGTGTTGGCCTCGCGGACCACTAAACGATAGGCAGAATGCCCGGAGGGGGGATACCTATTTGGGCCTATAACCCCTAAAATTGCCAGTACTCTATGTCCTAAGTAGAGGAGGAACCATATGTGATGTATGGCGTGAGCAGGCTTAACGTACCTGGTAGTATGTATGCGTTTGATAAGCGATAGGTAGAGAAAAACTGGAAAATCCTAAAGGGATAGAAAACCAAATATGATAGTGTGAGAATTGGATCCTATGATACCAATTTAGACTAGTTATATGTGATGAGTTCTAGTAGTACATATGGAAAGGGAATACATGAATGATATTGGCCCGACTGGCCCTGTATGTGGTATGGTAATCATGCTTGGGGGTGTGTATGATATGTCTCTGGTGACCAGATTAATGCGTATGATATAGTAATGCTAGTGTTTGTGGTATAATAAGGTGCAGGATTTAAAACAATACCGTATATGTTAGGCCGTAAACGTAAGCCATGAAAAGAGGTAAGCACGAGGTACAGAAATATTTGAGAAGTTATCCCAAAATTTGGAAACAACGTGACGTATGAGTGGTTGAATCAAGACGTGTGATTCAACCCGAGAGTTTGTGAGATTTGTGAGACCGTGTTCTTGTGTACTTGGTATGTCGTTTGAGTACACAAAGAAAAAGTCAGAATATATAAGTGCCATGTAAGAAACGTGAGTACATGGTATGATAGAAACGTAATTTCTAAACATAATTTATAACGTAATCCTACAAGCGACATCTGTAAAATGTAAAGGCTTGTCTAAGCTTAACTCCATAAATATATGTATATAACATGAAGAATTTCAATAAAACTTTAATAATGCCATATCTGCTAAGATTAAACCATAACCTAAATAAATACTTATTCATAAGTAGTTAACAGGGGTATTGCCCCAGTCATATGCAAGGATTTCGTAATTTGCATAAGCTAAATAACAGTAAATGACATGAAACCAATTATAGCTGATGATATGCAGAACGAATTTGCTTAATACAAAGAAAACCGAAACCGATATGCCTGCCGGCAGCAAAGGGGTTAATATGCCTGTGACTTGGCCGTAAAGCGTGTGGCCGTAAAGTAAGGCCGTTTTAAATCGCGACGCCGTGGGAAATGATCCGGGCGACGGACTTACGATTTTGAAGTCCTGTGGACTTAATCTGCGACGAAAACACCGGGTATGTGCGTGGCTGAACGGGCGGAAAACCTGTAAGGATTCCTGGACACAGCTACACCAAACGAAAACCGCGGGTTTTTGAAAAGCAAGATGGCGCCGTACGTGAACCGGAAGTGGATTCTCGATGCAGCGCTGACCTCGAACGGTATGGAGCCAGGTAAGGGGTGTCCCTTAAGTAGGGAGAAGGTGAGTCATACGCCCCTCCCACAATTACAGGCCAAAAGGCCTTAATACATATACATACACACATACACACATACATACAGGCAGGGGTGCACTCACAGGTCTTTTGAAAAAACGACAACTCGGTTATTAAAGTGAAAAGTGAAAAAATCTTCATTACATCTGTAAAAATAAATAAATCAATGTTTCGACCCCTAAGGGTCTTTCTCAAGATCACAGCACACATAAAACAGTGACAGTATATACATGTATTAATTAATCAATTAACTTACCAAACATGTGAGAGAAGTGATTGTGGACCCATTAACCCGCAAGCCACGAAAACCCGGAAGTGCTGTACACCGCGATGATGTCACCGCGTGGTTACGTATCGCGGAAGAAGAACGCGGTTACTAGGCGACCAGATGACGCCGTGCCAAAGTGAAAAACCAGCATCCCGAGACCGGGATCGTATGAAAACAGACACATCAGTGTCTAGATGGAGGGAGCAGAGGTGTATATAGGATTGGGAGAGCAATAAGCCAACAAATAATCGCCGGCGACCGGGTAAGTACAGAAAGACCAGAGGGCGTACTATTAAGCCCGGCGGCGTTTAGAGCCGCCTAAAATAGGGCGTAATAGTACGCCCTCCGGTCTTAAGGGGTTAACTATATAACACAATAACAACTTTCCAACCTATAGAAAAATAGAAATACACAGAATGAAGTGGTCCTAATAATTTTCCAGTTGCACCACCAGAGGATGGCAGAATGTCAACAAAGTGACCATTTGTATGGTGCTTCATTCTCAGTGTTATAAGATGATCTACCATTGATAAATAAAATAAATAAATTAATTAATTTAAAAAAAAAAAAAAAATAGCATGGAAATTTCCACTTGTGTTGGTGGAACCATGGGTCTAGAGCGGTGTCCCCCAACCCTGTCATCATGGACCACCAACAAACCAGGTTTTGTCAGTATCTTCATTGGAATAAAACAGGAAAAATGCATAAGGCCTGGACTGTTGGTGGTCCATCAGGACTGGGTTGGGGAACACTGGTCTAGAGGACAGTTCTACCATATGTGCTGAAGCCCCCAACCCATCTCTTACACCCCCTCTCCATCACCCACTTTTATATGTTCCTCCCACACTTATGGCTCTCTCTTCCTCTTCTTTCTAGCCATCTCTTTCTGCTCTTCTTACTCTTAATATGTGTTTACTGTGTGTGTGTGTGTGTGTGTATATATATATATATATATATATATATATATATATATATATATATATATATATATATATCATATCAAACAGTACTCAGTGGGTTGGCTTTAACACTACATCCCTCAGGTTTTTCATAAATTGTTTCTGAGTTTTTTGCATTATATAAATATTCCTTATGGTATACATTCCTGTATTTTGTTTTATTTGTACATGCTAACCCCTAACAAAATAAAGTATGCATAAAAATAAATGGAATTAACATTTAAGAGCAAAAGTTTTAGGATTCAGAAAATATAAGAAACATAAGGTGATCACACCATAATAAAATACTCACTTAATTGACACTACATGAGATGAAGATGTCAGTTCCAAATTCATATATGCTAAATATTGAACCATAAAGGGCTTTCTGGCTGAATCCAGGACCCTAACATAGGCTTTTATGTTTTTCCCAATTTCTACCTAAAAAAAAATAAATAAAATAAAATAAAAAAAATCCAATAGACAGTCAAGGTAAATTAACAGTGATAATTTATATAAGAAAGTAATTGGTTATGCAAGAAATGTAACTGAATAACATGAATAGGATTATATTTAGTGAATATTAGAACTGCTATTCCAGTAGGGATTGGGCCATTTGAACCAGATTTTATTCATTCAGGCAAAATCTGGTATTTAGTGAATAACCCTGAGCGTGTCAACTTATGATCACAGTGATAGCAACCTTGCTGACTAATTTAAAAAAAAAAGAAACACCCCATTCATTCGACTGGGTACATGATTTGTATTATTCATGTTACTCTAAAGAAACAGCACCACTTTTTATTAGTATTCATACTAGACCATTACAAATGCACCTACCTTATCAACAACTGTCACATCCACGTGGAAAATATCAGACACATGTACATTAACTTTAACAGGCTCGGGTAATGCAAGACAGAGGTCATAGACCATGACTGTTACTGTGCCTGAATGTAAAGGAAATACCTAGATCAAACAAATGTAAAAGTTAATAGTCAGTTCTGAGTTTAATTTGTAACGCTACATACACAGTCACGTCAGGGTCAGATTTCCCATTAAACAGAATAGGTGCCTGCCTACAGGCACCTGTTTTGCCAATTTACAGCACTTATAATGTGCCTTTTTGAAGCTTAGGTGGGCTGGTAAGGGCAAGATAAGTACCAGACTCTTTGGCCAGTGCCCTCTATGGTTCAGGCAGCTTCCTATGATTGCTAGCAGGGCTGCAGGAACAGATAAATATAGTGTAACATTTTATGATATCCCTACTCCTATTGAGTCTGTGTGTGTCCAGGCAGGAAGTAGAAAGGCTCACTTCCCATCTGCTCACTAACAGCCTCTCACACAGGAAATGCCTTGCAAGAGGAGCAGGGACAGCACTGAGTGATGCACATTGTATAGCAACCAATCATATGAAGTTGAGTACGATTAGCCCTTCAAACTCAGCATTGCCATACCCTAAACTCCCTTTTTACTTTAACTATTCCAAAAATAAAAATAAAAAATGAATAAACTCTCTAACCCTAAATCTGATACAAACCCTAATACTAGGTTTAACTTTTCTTCAAAATTAAACAGGTCATATGCCTCATTACTGAAATAATCCCACTTTAACACTAAACCAAATACATCTAAGCAGCTCATAATTTCTACCCTGCATACACTTAGACAGCTGCATGCACTCACATATTCAAACATAATTCATTGCAAGTAAAAATACATACATACATCTCCTGAGCTAAGCCCTGCAGTGTGCCCTTTCAGGCAAATATAATTAACCTGCATTTGTGTTTTAAAAGGTCAGCCTCTGAAGGCATCAGGGGGTCTAACAGCTGGGAGAAAGGAGGCAGTTAAGCCTAAGACTCTTAAGAAAAATGCACTGTGAAAAAGTCTGTATGTTTAAAGAGCTGTGGTTAAACTGTTTAAAAGTGGAAACTGGATTAGGTGGCCAGTTGGATAGTTAGGAATACTATTGTTTAGTAAGTCTCCACATTACTACAGTATGAGCCAGGGGATTAATTCACATTTTTGATGGTTTCATGAATTTCTGTTCAGATGGAAACTCACGAACTATACCAACCACTACATCTCAAATCATGGAACTATTTCTGGACAGACTTATTCAGAGCAGTCGGTCAAATCCTTCAACCCCATGGCGATTTGACTTTGTTCATGGGATCTGAGAGCTTTTCTGATATTTTGGGCGTTCAGATCCAAGTTATCTGGAGATATGTAGACTATGGGGGTTTGGTTATGCAAAATATGATTTTATGTATGTTAAAGTTTTTGGGTGAATTTTATAACAGTGCATTATTTTCTGTACCTGGAGATAATTGAGTTAACCCAATTATCTCCAGGATAGAAAGGAAGGATTGGACTGTTTGTGTGGGAGTGTTTTACATTATATGCTAGTTATTGTAATTGTGTCTCTGTCCCCAACAAGGTCCATTTGGGAGTATACCTTGCTTGGGGACTTGCATAAAAGGCCAAGCTGTGGCCTCCATTAAACAGATCGTTTTACCCCCTCATGAAGTCTTGGCTCATGTTTGGGGGATTTGAGTTATAATCACTACACCTTCTGCTACACTTGAATTTTGGGAGATTCTGCACGGATATACTCAGCTGGAGTATAGGGGATCCGTTACACTCCCTTTCTCAAATGTGAAATGCTTCAGACTTGAGAAAGGGAGGTTCTCCCAAAACTTGTGCTTAAAAAATTATGTTAGTCCAAAAGTATTACAAGATACATTGTAATATCTTTTTTTTAATCACTGGACTAATATGGCTACAATCTCTACTTGAACACACACACACACATATATATATATATATATATATATATATATATATATATATATATAGTGGCGGGATGGCTAGGCTCTTAAAAATAAACTTCAAATGCAAGTGTCAGGATGAAATAGCGTGTGTGTGTATATAATATATTATATATCTTAAAGGGCCACTATAGTGTCAGGAAAACAAACTTGTTTTCATGGCACTATAGTGTTAATAGGTCCCCACAACCCTCATGGCCCCCCTCCCGCCGGGCTCAAGATGGGTTAAACATTAACCTTTCTCCAGCGCAGGGCTCCCTTGGCGCTGGGGACTCTCCTCCCTCCACTGACGTCGTCCACCGAATGCGTGCACATTCAATTAGTCAATAGGAAAGCATTTCTCAATGCTTTCCTATGGGCGACAACGTTTTCTCACTGTGAAAATCACAGTGAGAAGTGCGGAAGTGCCTCTAGCAGCTGTCAATGAGACAGCCACTAAAGGCTGGATTAACCCTAATGTAAACATTGCAGTTTCTCTGAAACTGCTATGCTTACAGCTGCAGGGTTAATCCAAGATGGACCTGGCACCCAGGATGCCTATAGTGGTCCTTTAAACACATTAAATAGTGACTAAGCACCAGCACAGCTTTGCATAACTGCAAAACAGATAGAGTAGCAGCTCTGAGACTTATTGAAATAGCTCTCAATGAGACACTTTGAGTGAGTTATATCTGCACACTATCAGTTTTTGTTTATTTTCCACAATGTCTGTATGTGATGTTCCACTTGGGCAGAGTTCTCTTTCCTCCTGAAAGAGCGTTGAGAAGCAGGTTGAGGCACTGCTGTGCACTCTACATAGGCAGGTCCACTAAACATAGCAAACTGATAGCCATCACAATCTGGCAGTTATCAGTTTACAGGCTAGTTCCAATAATTTTAATTGGAGTTTATGGGATAAATACCCATTTTTAATGGGTTTATGGGATACAAAAAATACAAAATAAAGTGGGAAAAAATAAAATAAAACATCTTGTCCTCATGAGAGAGGTGCCTACTTGCTGAAGGCAAACAGTATATCTGCAGGGTATATTTAAGTATTTATTTTTACATTGCATATTTAGAAAATGCATTAAAATAGGTATTTCCCAACATAGTATCTCTTAACAGAGTACTCACCACTACTGTCCTTTTTTTGTCCTGAAATGCAGTTCCTGCGATGTTGGATACACTGCTGTTGATGTAAAAGTACCCAGAGCCTTTGCCAATGGTGAATGTGGCCTGTATAGATGAATTGTAAAACAAATAAATAACAATATCAACTAGAGTAAAATGTCAATTAATTGGAAGGTACATACAAATTGTGTTGATTAATATAGAATAAATATTACAAATTGCAAAAAAGGTTATTTAAAGTTGTCATACGACAGTACATACTACTTTATCTTAAGGTATATCTTTCAGCTACTGATGTCATGTTTTAACACTTCCCACAGCTGTTGTGATCAATGGCTGTGGAAATAAGGCATTATCTCACTCATCACACTGTCTCAAGTGATCCTCCACAGACATTAGTAAAGAACAAAACTGGTAGTACCTGCAGAGGGAAGGCATCAGTTAAATGTTACTCAGCTCAACTTCACCTGTGTGTCACCGCAATCCGAAGCTGCAGTAACAGTCAGGGATCTATGCAAAATATGCATAAGTTCCAGAAAGTGACAGAGCTGTATGTATATATACGCCGCTCAAAAAAGGTAACACAAAAATAACATTCTAGATCTGAATGAATTAAATATTCTTCTGAAATACTTTGTTCTTTACATGTTGAATGTGCTGACAACATCATCACACAAAAAAAAAAAAAAAAAAATGGAAATCAAATGTTTCAAACCAGGGAGGTCTGGATTTGGAGTCACACTCAAAATTAAAGTGGAAAAACACACTACAGGCTGATCCAACTTTGATGCAATGTCCTTAAAACAAGTCAAAATGAGGCTCAGTAGTGTGTGTGGCCTCCACGTGCCTGTATGATCTCCCTACAACGCCTGTGCATGCTCCTGATGAGGTGGCGGATGGTCTCCTGAGGGATCTCCTCCCAGACCTGTACTAAAGCATCTGCCAATTCCTGGACAGTCTGTGGATCAACGTGACATTGGTGGATGGAGCAAGACATGATTTCTCAGATGTGCTCAATTGGATTCAGGTCTGGGGAACGAGCAGGCCAGTTCATAGCATCAATGCCTTTGTCTTGCAGGAAGTGCTGACACACTCCAGCCACATGAGGTCTAGCATTGTCTTGCATTAGGAGGAACCCAGGGCAAACCACACCAGCATATGGTCTCACAAGGGGTCTGAGGATCTCATCTCGGTACCTAATGGCAGTCAGGCTACCTCTGGCGAGCACATGGAGGGCTGTACGGCCCCCCAAAGAAATGCCACCCCACACCATTACTGACCCACTGCCAAACCGGTCGTGCTGGAGGATGTTGCAGGCAGCAGAACGTTCTACACAGCATTTCCAGACTCTGTCATGTCTGTCACATGTGCTCAGTGTGAACCTGCTTTAATCTGTGAAGAGCACAGGGCGCCAGTGGTGAATTTGCCAATCTTGGTGTTCTCTGGCAAATGCCAAATGCCCTGCACGGTGTTGGGCTGTAAGCACAACCCCCACCTGTGGACGTCAGGCCCTCATACCACCCTCATGGAGTCTGTTTCTGACCATTTGAGCAGACACATGCACATTTGTGGCCTGCTGGAGGTCATTTTGCAGGGCTCTGGCAGTGCTCCTCCTGTTCCTCCTTGCACAAAGGTGGAGGTAACAGTTCTGCTGCTGGGTTGTTGCCCTCCTACGGCCTCCTCCACGTCTCCTGATGTACTGGCCTGTCTCCTGGTAGCGCCTCCATGCTCTGGACACTACACTGACAGACACAGCAAACCTTCTTGTCACAGCTCGCATTGATGTGCCATCCAGGATAAGCTGCACTACCTGAGCCACTTTTGTGGGTTGTAGACTCTGTCTCATGCTACCACTAGAGTGAAAGTACCACCAGCATTCAAAAGTGACCAAAATATCAGCCAGGAAGCATAGGAACTGAGAAGTGGTCTCTGGTCACCACCTGCAGAACCACTCCTTTATTGGGGGTGTCTTGCCAATTGTCTATAATTTCCACCTGTTGTCTATCCCATTTGCACAACAGCATGTGAAATTGATCGTCACTCAGTGTTGCTTCCTAAGTGGACAGTTTGATTTCGCAGAAGTGTGATTGACTTGGAGTTACATTGTGTTATTTAAGTGTTTCCTTTATTTTTTTGAGCAGTGTATATACATATACACATTTTTATTTATTTATTTTTTGTGGCATTTTAATACATTATGCCATATAGCACATCAGATGGTTAAATAGTGTTAGCCTCTCTTATTTCTTATAATTATTTCAAAGTGAACTGTGAAAAAAGGTTATCACACTGAGAAATTTGCATTACCAAGTTTATAAGATGCAGCTGTGTCATCTCACAAATTCATGTGGACTCATGTGATAGACAGCTTTCAATGAATCATGCAACTTTCCAAATTTTATCAGACTGTGCCAGAACGGCTTTACATGTGATGCAAATTAAAATAATAAAAACAAAGTGAATAGGATTCCTAATAGGAATCTATAGTGTGTCCATAGTTCCCTATAGGGGGTAACCCTTACATATAGATAAAAAAGGATAGGATAGATGATCCCAGGCGCAATAGGCTATGGGAGCACCCGAAGAAAGGGATCTATGGGTCTGCACTAGTAAATATTTAAAATAAAAAATCTTTATTATAGGGTACAAATTCCCCAAAATGAAAGGAAACTTAAAAAACCAACACTTCTAAACTTTGGCGGGAAAGGAATAATTACACCCACACCCTGGATTGGCTCAAAGGGAAATACAGGCTGGTATATATTCACCGTTTTTCAGTGCCATTCTTACCTTTGACAAAGGCGCTTTAGCAGCGCCGAAACAGACGTTGGGTTTCATGATTTTTTTATTTTAAATCACAGCACTGAGTTATGTGCTCACGGGGTGGGGGAGTGAGATTCGTTTTGGTTTAGGGAGTACTCTATTCAGATTCTGTGACTCCTTATTATGGGCAGTTAGGATTCCTTTGATTTAGAAGTTATAGCTACATAAGCAATCGCTCTTCATGGCTATATTGAGATACTGTTGTACCACTTATATCCTTTGAGGCAATTACACTCTCAGGGACTTTCAGACTAGATTAGTCTGTATTCCTTTGGTATTTGTCTCCCTTCTAAGTAGTAGTAGTCAACTTGTCTCAGAGTGTTTTGTAGCAGTTCAGTCTACACATGTCTGTGTCCACCTGTTCCTAAATAGAGTCTTTCTGTATCTACTTCACACTAATGAGCTAAGCAGTTCTTTTCAAGTTTATATTATCAGACAGAACATTTACTCTAGGTCTATAGTCGTTGACAGCAATCAACTGTACCAATTCTATATAGACCAATTCTGAGTATTGTTTGGGCATTTCATTCAGTATCTATCATTTTACATATTACATTTTACATATATAGTAGAGCGATCAACAACTTTGGGATCCTTCCACTTTCGAGGGAATAATACTCAGATAGGGATATACAACAAGAGAGTCATTATAGATATCTCTTAACTATTAATTTGCCTCCCTGTATATATCTAGATTCCCTTGATATCATACTGCTTCTATTTCGAATTCCTTCCTGTGTGTTTAGTTTAGAAGTGCTGGTTTTTTAAGTTTCCTTTCTTTTTGGGGAATTCGTACCCTATAATAAAGATTTTTTATTTTAAATATTTACTAGTGCAGACCCATAGATCCCTTTCTTCGAGTGCTCCCATAGCCTATTGCACCTGGGATCATGTATCCTATCCTTTTCAAATTAAAATAATAACAGCAATACATAAGGGATGTTCCTGTATACATAATTTACATAGTAATGTCTCTTACCGTCACAAGAGGATGGTTATAAATACAAATAGTATGTGTATTTACTTGAATATCTTCCACAAGTAAAAGTTCAAGACTGGTGGTAACATGTGCCAGTGTGCTGTGCTGAAAACCAAAATAAGAATTAGAATAAATGAATGAATAAATAAATAAAACAAAATGTAAAATGTATTAGTTGTGATTTGGTGCACATTTTTAATATGGGCTTATCACCCATGCACCTGTTAATTATATTTGCTTCGATGTTGACTTCCCCAATTTTAGTACTTAATGTTTCACAGCAATGCTATTTGATAGATTTTTTTTTTTTTTATTTTTTTTTTTTATTCTTTAAAATTCTGTATTTTAATTTTGCAAAAGGAGGCACAAACATATCTGCAATGCCACAATAGGATTACAGACCTTTTAAAACTGACAATCTGTGACATAGGATTACAACTGTACTTTTTCTTTTTTTTTTATGTTAGAGTAATGCTGAATAAATCAGGAGATTATCAAATATGAGTAACACTAGCAAGAGGTGTGTTTACAAGAAGTAAATTGACATGACAGACATAGTAGCTTCAAGATTTATGATAGGTAGGAGACAAGGGTCTAACACGTTTACTTAAGAAGGCTAATACTACACCATACCCTATACATTTCCCTGTCGCATAGTGGGTCTGAGCAGGCTACTCTTGGATTTATAGATCACTGTAGTCTGGAGCCGCAGTGAGACAACAATTTTTAAAACAGTGCTAAAACACTGACAACACATTGATAAACACATTCTGCTCTTAAATCTGGGTAATTCAAATCTTTTTAAACAAGCTGGCTAAAATAACTGAAATAGCTGCTCAGCAGGAGAATAATGAGAGCTCTGTGGGTTTGAGATAAAGTATATTTTCACTGATTCCTGCTGATGGGAGACGGCCGGCGCCTGCTGGTGGTCTGTGGGAGGCCGCTGGTGCGCAGGTACTCCTACTGTCCTTTTCTCCCCAGGCTGGTGTGTGGGCCTGCATCTTTTGGCCACAAACTATGTGCCTACTAGAGTCTGAGTTTCCTCCCAGTGTGGGAGTAACGGAGGACCTGGTGCGGTGTCTGGGCCTCCGTTGGTGTGGGCGATGCTTCCAAGTTGTTGCCCGTCTGGCCTTCAGCCCGGGTGGGCCCTGTAAAGTGGGGGTAGGTGGGAGTGCTGACACTGTGCCCAAGGATTTTCCCCTCACCTCCCGTTGCTCGCGGCCCTGCTTACCCTTGATCTGCAGAGTGGGCTGTGCGGGCCGGGCTGCTTGTTGTCGCTCCCATAGTCGTTCCCAAAAGCAGTTCAAAATGCCGTCCAGATGCTTCACAGTTGCTTGGTGCAGCATGTGGTGTGGGAGCAGACTCTGCTCTAGTGTTGTATTTTCAGCCACCATCTTAGGTGCACCAGGTGCAGGTGCGCTGTATTGTTGCGGTACAGGTCAATCCCTGCTGGCCGCTCCAGACACCCAGTGAAGACCGGGACATCCCCCACAGGTCAGTGTGCAGGTTTGCCAGCGAGGAGAGCGGCCACCTCTCCCCGGCTCCATGACAGGTAGGCCCCAAGCTCTGTTTGCAGGTTCCCGGTTTATGTTTGTTACAAGCTTGGTATCAATCGATTCAACCGGGTGTCTCAGTCTCGGTTATTACCTTCCAGCTGGTATACAAGACAATTTTCCAGGGTTTTCCCCCTCAATTCACAGGTCCACATATTTCTACAGTTATAGGTAAAGGTTTGGAAAACCCTGGCCAACAACATATAGTTTATTGATTATGTAAGCGAACAGAAGTTAAAGTGACATTACAGTCACCAGAACAACTACGGTATAATCATTTCCTTAAATGATCACTATAGTCAACATATGAAAGCAAGAAAGACAGGCCCCTCAGCCTTCTTTCTTGTTTTTATATAAACTTCCAGTTAATAAAACAATAAATTCAAGCCCTTTGTATCATTAAAACTTACCTCTATTCCAACGCTCCCTGCCAGGCTTTGCCCACTTTTTCATCAAAATGACAAAATCACAGGGCCCAATCAGACACTTCTCTTTGAGAAGCGTCATCGCTCTCTGGTGCACATGCGCGGTTTCACGCTGCACCAATCATGTTCTTCATAGATTGGCACTGAATGCCGCTCTATGAAAAAACTGAACTCTCTACCGTGCATGTGTGCGGTATGCACGTTCGCGAGCTGAGCTGACAACTCAGCTCACTGTCTATGCCCGCCCCCTCCTATGGCAACCTTCCTAACTCAAAGTATGCAAACACTATATAGAGCTCTCTCTCTCTCTCTCTCTCTCCATCTCTATCTATATATATATATATATATATATATAGAAACTATACAATTTCTGGCACTCTTCCCAAATAATAATACATACCAGGTGCTTCTCTGTGCAAAATACTATAAACAAAGCAAAAAATGAGAGCACTCCATGGATTTGGTAAATCAAATTACTGTATTCAAATAGCACAAAAAAAAGATATACCGAGCCAATATAATACACGAACATTGCATACCAAGAAAGGCTGTTTCAAGTGTTCAGGTTGCGTCACCTGTGGACACATGCTGACAGGCTCTTCCTTTGCACATCCCCACACAGGCAAAAGAATCCAGATCAAACATCGACTAACCTGCATGAGTGACCATGTAGTATACCTCATTTCATGCCCATGTGGGAAATATTATGTGGGTAAAACAGACCTTACAGTAAGGGACCGTATTCGTGGTCACAGATCAGGAATCATGACGGCGTACCGGGATGGGAAGACTGATAAACCTGTGGCAAAACACTTCCTAGATTTCCAACACCATTTACCCACGCTTAAGTTCATTATGATAGACCACATCCCACCGCTCACAAGAGGAGGCGACAGATCAAAGTTACTTTTACAAAGGGAAACCTTTTGGATCACACATCTGGATACGGTCCAACCGAAAGGATTAAACGAATACAACTCATTTAGTTGTTTTTTGGATATCCGTTGATATCGCTGAGCAGTAAATGACTTGGATGCGAGATTTTGACTCAGGATTTAATGACCATCCCATAATAAAGAGGACATTGTGAATTATTTCCATCTGATTTCCTGCCGGTGGGAGTTACAATACAGAGCTGCAAGAAAGGGTTGTGGACTTCCAATTGGTGATTGGGGATAGTACATACATCTAGGCACTTTTGGCTTTTTGATAAATACCCAGTGACATAAGGTTCTTATAGTAGGACCCTCTCTCCTTTTACCTAATTTTTCTCTTTTCCATTTCCTAGCATGCCGATCTTGGAGGCTGCACTGGCATATAGTTAGTAGGATCACTGTTACATTTTTTATTGTTTATTTTCTCTTTATTGTTTATTTTTACTATTTTTATTTTTTATTTTTTGTTATTTTTATTTTTATTATATTTTTTATTTATTTTATTTATTTTGATATTTATTTTTATTTTATTGTATTTTGTATATATTTTTTATTTCATTTTATTTATTTATTTATTTATTTACATTTTTTTATTGCATTCTTACCTTTCTGACAGTGCATTCTCATTATTCACGAGGGCTCATTACACTTTTAGTGCATGTTTCAGCTGCACAGTCTTTTTCACTTTTCATTGATTGTCTCATTTCTAGAGGTCAGGCAGTATACTCACATTTTTTACTACATCATTTCACACACACACCAGAGAATGATCTTAGTAGCACACACACACTTTTTTCTACAGTGTCTCACATACATACCGTAGATTGATTTAGTACAGGATTTTCCCATTCTTGCTTTATTTTTTACTAGTTTGGAATTCACACATACTGATTTGTCACTCACCATTTAATATTCCCTGTGTTTATTTATTTCATCACACACATGCTGATCACTCTACACTATATATGGACCCCAGTAGATAAAGGGTCAACATCACACACACTCTCTGTTATATACTGACAACTCACATTATGCTAAGCCAGCCTGTTTTTTGTAATTGATGCCTGTTCTTATTGTTTAGGTTTGTGATTTGGCAACACACATGGCTTTCCCAGCTAGGGTTCCCAATTGAATAAGGAGTTAGGTAGTATTTGAGTTAGCTCTATTAGGCTACACAGGTCCACAGTTACCAATACACCAGTCTTTCTAACTGAGTCCCTATATGAGCAATCGTTTCTAGCCATTCCTGGCTCACTCTAGTATCCTACGATCAGTTAGGCAGTTGCTTAGACATTTATGAAAACACATATGCAACATATAATTTTATTTATCCTCCGTATTGATTTTAAATCTCTGCCGACATTTGGTTTTTAAACAGCTGTGCCGTCTCTAGGCAACACATGGTGATTTCACCACACGTCACTTTACGGCAATTAACATAACGATCCACAATTTGCGGCTTCACTCATATGGCAGATTGGACACACAGGGAGCACTTGGTGATTGGGTAAGTTTAACAAGCGTTTATGTATATATTTGAGGTTTTTGTATATGACAGCATCTTGATAAAGACCGCTAGACGGTCGAAACGTCGATTTTTCTTGTGCTATTTGAATACAGTAATTTGATTTACCAAATCCATGGAGTGCTCTCATTTTTTGCTTTGTTTATATATATATATATATATATATATATATATATATATATATCTCTTATCTATTTATTTATATGTGTATCTATCTATATCTGTTTCTATATATATATATATATATATATATATATATATATATATAGAGAGAGAGAGAAATATAGAAATAGATAGAAACAGATATATTTGTATACACACACTGTAGATATGTAAATAAATAGTGTTAAACACACACTTCATCTCTCTATATATATATATCTATATATATATATATTATCTATTTATATTTTTATCTATCTACGTGTATCTATCTATATTGTTCTATCTATTTATATATATATATATATATATATATATATTTATATCTGTATCTATCTATGTGTATCTATCTATATCTTTTTTTCTATCCATCTATCTATATTGTTCTATATATATACACACACATACACCATATCCATGGCAGCACGGCGATGGGTAGCTCTCACAGGAACTAATTAAAATAAATGTATAAGTACCTCCTCATATCCCCTCCTCCCTAATTCTTTTTTGTTCCTGCCCTATCCCTATAGGACATGTGTTTTTCCTTGGAACTATTATTTTTCTTTAATGGCAGCCCCCTGGTTCTCACACTCGTGGGAATCATCCTGGTGAATGCTGCATTGCTTCCTCCTATCTCCTGCTGGATTTTTGGTTTGTCTACTTAAGGTAAATGTCTTTTTATTTTTATTTTTTAAAGTGGTATACTTCAATTTGTTATGGATTTCAATTTGAGATTATTTATTGCATTTGGTTCTGCAGATGGATATGAAAGTCTCAAATTTTTCTCATTCTAATTCTTCCCCAGTTCACAATAGGTCACAACCTAAGTCTTATAGGTAAGCCATGTTTTTTTTCTGGTTTGTTTTATCTGGTATTTAAAAGAGTGCAGATCACTGATACACTGTCCTATCCCTATTTCTGCAGTTCTAAGGGGACTAGAGCTTCAGTGCCGTTGTTCTATCAGTTTGGTATACCCCGTCAGATTGCTATACCCACGTCACTTCCGGGGAGGGGAATCAGCTGTCTCCTGTGCTGCACATGCGTGCTAGCACTCCTGCTACTCCTCCACAGCAAGGTCCTGGAAGGTAAGTAAAACTAGTTTTACACTTTCATTATAGTTAGTGCATTCACTAAGCTTAGGACATGGGACATTTAGGGTTAATGTTAGGGTTCAAATTAGGGTTAGGATTAGGGACTTGTTCCTATTTAGTGATATTTCACATTAGGGGAATATCACTAAATAGTGATTTCTCACACTTTATTTTAACCCTTACCCCAAGGGTTAGGGTAAGAATAGAGTGTGAGAGAGGTTAGAAGCACTTACCTAACCCTAATTTGTACCCTCACTTAACCCTAAATGTCCCGTGTGCCTAAGCTTAGTGAATGCACTAACTATAATGAAAGTGTAAAACTAGTTTTACTTACCTTCCAGGACCTTGCTGTGGAGGAGTAGCAGGAGTGCTAGCACGCATGTGCAGCACAGGAGACAGCTGATTCCCCTCCCCGGAAGTGACGTGGGTATAGCAATCTGACGGAGTATACCAGACTGATAGAACACCGTCCAAAGGGAAGTCGCCCAGAAGGACACAATGTGTATCATGTGATAACAGAGCCCTGGAGGGGAAATGTCTCTGTTTTCCTTGCCTATCTGTGGCTGCAGCCCATCTCAAAGGCAGTCCTCCATCCAACCTGCGCCTGACATAATGCAGTATATTTCACAAGCAGTCGCTCTGGGCATTCAGAAAGCTGGGAAGTCCTGCAAGCGACCAAGGTGTTTGGAACCTGCAGAGCGTT